GGATAAAATCATGCAGCAGTGGTTCAGCCGTCCCTAAGGTGTAGAATTACTCAGTGAAGAAGCTCGATCATGACAGCCACATGTGAGACCAACGTACTCCAAATCAACGCCGGCAAGACAAAGGAGATGATCATAGATTTCAGCAGGAAGTCACCCCCTACAACACCGGTGAACATCCAAGGGAAAGACATTGAGATAGTGGACTCTTATAAGTACCTGGGTGTTCACCTCAACAATAAACTGGACTGGACTACAAATACAGACATCCTGTATAAGAAGGGCCAGAGTCGACTCCACCTGCTGAGGAGACTGAGGTCCTTCGGAGTCTGCAGGACTCTGTTAAGGACATTCTATGACATTGTGGTAGCATCTGCCGGGGGAGTGGATGCAAGGACAGGGACAGGAGCAGGATTGACAAACTGGTGCGGGGGTCTAGCTCCGTGCTGGGATGTCCCCTGGAGTCTGTGGAGGTGGTTGGCGAGAGGAGGATGTTAGTAAAGCTGACATCCATCATGAACAACCCACATCACCCACTGCATGAGTATGTGAGTGGGCTGAGCAGCTCCTTTAGTCAGAGACTGAAACACCCTCGCTACAGGAAGGAGCGCTTTCGCAGATCATTCATCCCAACAGCAGTTAGACTCTATAACTCCTCAATCACGATGTCATAAGTCACTGGACACTGTGAATATCCACGGTCACCACTTCATGCATAATGGACCTTCCCTGTGTATGGACATGTGCAGGTATATATGTATGTATATGTATACATATGTATATTTAGTGTATACATGTGTATCTATGAAGCGCCTTGAGGCGACTTATGTTGTGATTTGGCGCTATATAAATAAAATTGAATTGAATTGAATTGTATGTGTACATGTCTATAAATAGGAATAGTAGTGGTACAATAGCTATATCAAGCTATATAGTTTATGTCTTCCATATTTCCAACCATAATATCCATAATCACATACTGTGTATGCTATCATTGTATATTATCTTTTTTTCATTGATTGTACTTATTTGTATTTTTGTATTTCCTTCTGATATCTGTACCTGAGCTGAGGTGATGCAAAAATTTCCCCGTTGTGGGATCAATAAAGTCTTGTCTTGTCTTGTCTTGTCTTGTCTTATCTTACATGTTGCTATAACCAAAACTGTAATATGAGCATGACAATTTTCCCTGAATGCAGCTGGCTTTACCATACAGCTTATCACATAAAGGGTTGTTCATTGCTATTTATAATTCAGTTTGAGTAACATAGAGCTATAGATGCTCGTGGCTCCATTGTAAATGTCCAGTTTAAAAACTGATGAAACTGGTGATTAGGATGCTAGAGAGCAGCCTTTCATCTCGGAGGGCGTTTGCATCCACAGATCAGATAAAGGTTTAAGAGCTGTGGCAGATTTTATCATCTGTGCTCAAAGTTTAAGGGACTAAAACAGACACAACCCCCAAAACAAAACAAAAAGAAGATAAAGAGAGACTTTAAAAAAAGTTAATGACTGTATATTTGGCTGCAGCTTGCTATATGGAGCAAACCATACTGTATGTCACTGAGTTTAAGTTTGGTTGTGTAGGTGCTGCTTAACATATAAACAATGAGTGCATTCTTGTGTAAGAATGTATAGGGGGGCTTAATCATAGTGAGGTAGCATACAGCCCTAACGCACATATGACTCATTACATAACTGACAAAGGAACCAGCCAGCAGTATGCAGTGCAAACAATAGTAATAACAAGACCCGTTTTTTCGCTGGAAAAAAAAGTATGACTGAGATTAGAGCTCACAAAGCCACACTATTAGAGAATATCAGTCGAATAACGATGTGCTGTGGACATACCATGCTGACAGCACGGTCCCACTGAGGAGTAGAGTTTCCAGCAGTCCTGGTGTTAGTTTCTCTGCTCGTCTTCCCACAGGGCTTCTTTTAAAATAGTTTCCTTTTCGTTGTTTCTGATAACAATCGGGGTAGCAGATAAAATTTATACGGGGACAAAAGCCTTGACCAGGTTTGACAACTTGCGGACACGTTTACGAGAGCTGGAACAAACCGTGGTCAACAAGTCAAGAAGAAACGAAGGAGAGGAGCTGAGCCAATGGGAAGACCGAAGGGGCTGAGCTGCCCTTCCCCAAAATGGGAAGCGGGGCTTGACAACACAAGAATACACACTGCTGCTGGATTACTGTGTGGAACCTGCACGGCTTGACAGTGAGCACACTGAACTCTCACACTTGACTTAATTATAGGCTGCAGTCATGCGCAGAAATAAAAGTCATTAGTAGATTAATTAAAGCTCATCCAGAGAGCGCAGAAGAGTGCGCCGTCTGTGCCTTACTTTACGCACAGAAATGCACAGAAATCAACAAGTGGCTCATAGTCAGTGTGCATTGGGAATAACTCAGATATTAAACTGCAATACACGGGGTTTTGTAACGAAGCTGTTTTGCGTGAAGTCATTAGCATTTGTAGTTTAAAAAAACCAGCGGGGGTATAGGTTTTCTGAGAAATATTAACATGCTTCAACTGTGCTACTTGAAAAACAATTAGATTGTCACTACAAATAAACAAAATTGTGGGCTCTTTGCATAAAAATGGGTACTGATATTAAATATATATGACATGGATTAGGATTAAAATAAAAACCTGTCTGTGTCCACAAAGCCACTTACGGTATAGTATTATGAATTATTTTTAGTAGTAGAGTAGCTGCACTCCCCCTGGTGGAGAAAATGTGTCACAACGACAACTTTTACCAAGTCACCCAAATGGTAATCCACTGACTTGAACGTTGTGGTTCCAGTAGTGCGATTAGAGGAGCAATGAATCAGAGCGGTAATTCAACTGAGCATATTCATGAATCCATAAAGGGAAACATTTAGGCTCTTAAAAGGAGATAAAGCTCATATTTACCTGTTCACATGTTGAAAAGAAAAACAGTCTATTAACATTTTTTAAGGGATAGTTTCATTACATTTGTAATGAAACTATCCGTTAGATAGTTTCATTACACAGAGATTTACACCTCTGTGTATGGACAGAGATTTAGTGTGTAAATCTCTGTGTAGGGACAGAGATTTACACACTGGACATCTTTGTACTGAAGGAGTAACCATGCAGCTAGAATGCACATTATAAGTGCTCTTCTGCAAGGCAAAGCTCACAGCAGGATAGTAAATCCTAAACTAATTGTACAGCTGAAAATGTCTTGTATTACTCACTATCACATGCAATAATAGATGGAAAGTAAATCTTTTTTTTTTTAGAACAGCCTAAATGTGGAAAATGTCCTGTTGGTACACATGCTTGAAACTGAAAGTGATTGTTGTTTTCTGGCATGAATTCACATTTCAGTGAAAAACAAAACAAAACAAGCAAACAAACAAAAACAAAAACTTTGTTCTTATAGGTTGATCTAATCATCACATTAGCTGTCAGTCAGGAAAAGACCATAGGATAGTTTGTTGTGGAAACCACATGGGACACAGTGTCTTTAATCACCAACGTCAGATCACAGAAAGCATCAAACACAGAGTTGATTCTATGCAACCTCGTGCAGTATCAACATGCTGTGCAACAGCCAGGTCAGACATGATGAAATTAGCTGAAATGACCAGTTGGTGTCACTACATTACAGCTTAAAAGGCCTCTGTTCATTTTCTGCTGCATGCCTACCTGCGTAAAGTCAATGTGGAATCCCTTTGTGCTCAGAAATAAAACATTAACCTTAGGGTTGTATTTGTCATCTTACATTTTGTTGTAAACCATCAATATTCACCTTAAGGTTGATGAAGAACCTCAGCCAAGGTGTGAGAGCTAAACAAGGCCTGGTTGAGTTAAGCCTCAAAAGTTGTTTCCTAAAATGTGATTAATTGCAATATTATTCTGTAAATTACAGATTTCTTATCTTTTTCAGGCATTAATTCTTTCAGTCATTACACACCAAGTAAAAATTGTGTATAGCGAATGGTTAATAAGTGATTCACTCTTTAACTATTCGCTTTGGTTTCCATTGGGTAACAAGAACCCAAGAAAGAGACAACTAGAATAAATAAATAGCATCCTGGATATTTAATTTATTCTTATTATTTTTGTGACTCTGTGATTAGCAGGTAGAAACTAAAGACAAGTTCATGAATGCAAAGTAAAAGGACAAATAAATTAGATCTTTACCAACAGCTTTTATGGTGGCTTTGGCCTCGGCTCAAATGAAACTTAATTTCTCTGAATGAGTGGAGGTGGTGTGCTTGAGTAAGACTGTGCTACATTGGTGAGAAAGAATGCAGTGCGGATCGCGTTAGGCTCTGGGCATAAGCCACAGGCAGTTGTTGGTTGAAATACCTGTGATAAGGAAGGAGAAGCTCACCAAGATGCAGAGAAAGAATCTCAGGGAGGGAGGGATAGAGCCAACCTCTGTATCTGTGTGTTATAGGAGGGAATAAAACAATGCAGTGTGACTACGAAAGGACGCCAGACTTGTTTTTCTTGTTTTGGCACATCCCAAGGAGGAAAGACATCCTCTCGCAAAACAGCCAAACTCACTACAGTCACTTGAGCAGGAGGAGTGGTGTCTTTACCCCGGATTCAAACACGCGAGACGCACCAAAAGGTACGTTGATGTATGTCGGTTTAAAGAATTAGCTCGTGTAAAGTGTATGTGTGTGTGAGAGAGAGAGGGTGAGAAAGAGAAAGAGAGGGGGGAAAACAGAGGTAGGAACTGAGAGAGACAGATACACCTGTTAGATCTAGGACGGCTATCTTGTGTCAGTAATGTTTCTCAGAGGAGTACATTTGGGGCGGTGTACAAACAGGTGCTCAAAACGTCAGGGCGTGTATTTGCTTGCTGTTAATTGCATGAACTGCTGAAGGAGAAAGGCAGAAAGATGAGGTGTCAGGATAGAAAGCTACTGTATGACCTGTAAAGGACAGCCTTTTAAGAAAAACTGAGCTGTGGTGGAGTTTCTCTGTCGCGCTTTGATTGTTGCATCATCTGCATACCATCTGGTATCTTTTCCTGTAGTGTACCTGTCACTTACCTGCATGTGAACATGCCAGTATACACAATGCTGAATACTCTGCATTCTTACAATCAGCCTGTGGTATGTGCCATTGTTGTGCTCTTAATCATCTTTTCTTTTTGATGTAATGGGTATAATTAATATGACGCCAAGATGTCAGGCAGGCAAAGTTAATGAGAATCTTTTATATCATTGAAGACTAGTATCTACATGTGAACGTTTAAAAACGCTAAGGAGGAGAGATCAAATATAACAATTCAAGTGGGACAAGGAAGGAGACATAAAAAAAAGGGTAAATGTCATTGCTGTGCTACCAAAACATCTTTCCCCATTCTGTGTATATTACATTGAATTCTGTTTATGTCCACGTGAAACAGATGTCAACATCACTTCCATCAGTGCTCCCTAGAAAGCCTTCAGGTGTCCGAGTTATGGTCCTTAAAGGACAGCAGGAGCTTTCTGATGGGGTTCCTAACAAGTCTGGCAAAGGTACACTCCTCTCCAAGAATGTGGTGTTGGCAAAAACATGTGGTTCCATCTTTTGCATATGCTTTTTGTAAACTTTGAATTAATGGCCTTGTTCTATTTCTGCTCAGAGAATGGTACCAGTGGGGAGTCGAATCAGATCCCTCCACTGAATGCAGACAGAGAAGTGGTACGTACTCATACGCCTCTTTTTTTGTATATATGAGTGGGTACAAACAAGACTTAGAAATTATCAACACAATCAGAAAATCACACACATATGAACAATAACCCCAGATTTATTATCTAAACTTTAGAAACAGTAAACCGATGTGGTGTAGTGTTCTTTAAAATCAAAAACAAGCGATATGATGAGAGCCTCGTGTGTGAATCATTCCTCAGGAGATTATGAACCACTGCTTTGACGATGTGGAGCGATTCATGTCGCGCTTACAACAGGCGGCAGAAGCCCAGACTGTCCTCAACCAAAGGAAAAAGAAAAACGAGAGGAAGACCAAGAAGGATAAAAAGACCCAAGAAGGTGAGGCCCTCGACAATTTCTGACCAAAATAAATGACTTATATTGGAAACAAGGAAACCTGTCTCTTCGAGTGATACCGAAGAGCCAGATATGTTTTGGATAAGGTTGAAATTTAAAATGTAGGTTAGCAGATGAAAGTGAGCTTCAGACATGTGGAGGAAGGAGCGATTGACATTGACTCAATATTTTACACACTGAAACTCAACAGGCAGGATGAAAAAAAACCAAACATTCGGGTAACGCAGAAAATTCCTGCACATCGTGAGAATGTCTAAGACACAAGGCATGCAAGTACCTGAACACGTTTATGCACTGCTGTTTCTTCATATAGCATGATATTATGTTTTATATTGGGCACAATTAATGTCTGAGTTTGAGTCACTAAGTATTTCTCTTTTGTCTAACTTGGCAAACTCATCTGGGTGTTTCCTAAATTAACACTGGGATGGACTAAAGGAAGGCTCTTATTAGTCATTACTTTGTCTTATATGAGCACTTGCTGTGACAAGCTAGAACAAAGGTCATGGTATGTTGTGCTTCTAGTATTTCTGTTCATTTCTACTTTTATTTGTTTTTCAGAATTTTCCCCAAACTAAAGTGTTAGCATCCACATGATAGTCTGTATCATGCTCCAGATATACTCCGTTCAGTTCAATTTTATTTGCATAGTGACCAAGAAGCCCACAATAATACAGAGAAAACAGAAAAAAACAATAATCAAGTGACCCCCCCCCACCCCTCCCAATGAGCAAGCACTTTGGTGAAAGTGGGAAGGAAAAGCTCCCTTTTAACAGGAAGAGACCTCCAGCAGAACCAGGCTCAAGGACAGGCTGAAGGCTCTGCTTCCCATTGTACTTTTAAACACCATAAGAACCTCAAGTAACTGAGGAGCAAAGTGCTCTATTGGGGTGATATGTTACTATTTGGTCTTTAAGATAAGATGGGGTCTGATTACTAAGACCTTGTATGTGAGTAGAATGATGTTAAACTTGATTCTAGATTTAGTAAATGTATCGGTAAAAGCAATACTTGTATGCTGTGGTTATAACAACCTTATGTTTTATGTCTATGGTGTATATATTTTGCTGTTCTTTGTGCAGATGGTTTGTTGACCATGAAAGCCAGTCCTCCCCCAGAAGAAGACTTTGTGAACATCTTTCAGAAAATCAAGTACTCCTTCAGTCTGCTGGTATGATTAGACTACGTTCTATTTAAGCATAAAGAGATTTCTTTGATAAATACAAAAAACAAAATTGATTTTTTTTTAGGACCGCCTGAAGTCCTACATCTCACAGCCCAATGCCCCAGAGCTGCTCCACCACATCTTTGTGCCTCTCAGACTGGTGAGACCTCATTTAGTGCTTTTTCTTCTTTTCCTCTTTCGTTGATCTTTACTGTAGAGACCTCTCTCTTACAGATGATGAATACCACTGGGGGGCCAGCATTAGCTGCATCCATCATCAGTCCTGCTTTGACCAATGGTGCCGTTAAACTGCTCCAGGAACATCTGACTTTAGAGGAAAATGAGCTGTGGACTTCACTGGGGACCAGCTGGACCTCACCCAGGTCTGTGTGTGTGTGTGTGCGTGTGCGTGTGTGTGTGTGAGTGAATGTCAGCTTTACTAGAGACTGTGCACAACACGGTTTTAATGGAACAGGCTCGTTCCACTTTCTCCAGCTCCCACCTCGGTGTGACTGTTCCTCCGTATACACCTGTCTTTCTGGATGGGTGGAAGCCTCAGACTCATGACTCTACTGGCCAGCCTTTTGAAGATCCCATCGAGCTTCAGCACAAAGTAGATGCTTTCAATGAAACCAAGCAGAAACAAAGTCAGCAGGAAGAAGCTCAACAGGCAGCACAGAGCCCCAGGTAGGCCACTGAAGAAGTGTAAATACATACAAATAGAGCAAGACATTATTATGGTTTCATAGCAGTTGTGATTGTTTTTGTGGAGGCTGTATTCTTACTGGCTAGAATCAAATCAGTCAAGTGCTTTTAGTGGCAAACCATGATTAAGATTACTGATATCTGGCTCCAGTTTCATGTTTATTTTTTTTATGTTTTGCATATCTTTTAAATACTATCTGTTTGTCAGAGACGGAAATGGACATGCGCACGGTGAGAGCCATTACTGCTGCAGTTACGACTTTGTCGCCAGAAACAGCAGTGAACTCTCTGTGCTAAAAGGAGAAACACTTGAGGTACACACCCTGAAATATGGGTGGCGATCTGAATACAAAAGTAGAGTTTAGATCCAGGAGTACGTCACACAACTTGGCTAATGAGAGTCATCTTTCCGTAGGTGATTGACTCATCAAAACGCTGGTGGAAGTGTCGGAACAGCTATGGCGAGATAGGATTTGTTCCTTTTAACATTTTGGAGCCTGTGTCTGCTCTGAATAAGACGGAGAAAGATGGCTCAGTGGTGCACAGGGAGTCACAGGTATAAGACGACACACAGCTACACAAATACACAGAATTTTATTTGTGCCACTGTCTCAGAAACTGTACATACTGTGATTTCTTGGCTAATGTTGTCATGTAGTTTTTGTTCATTCCTGCTTTTTTTCACAACAAAAGGCAGGTCCTGTTCCTCACTTAAAGCGCTTCTCATACACCCCATCAAGCGGGGGTCCCACTACAGCAACCCCAGCGGTGCGACCTCAAAGCATGGTTTTACCATCTACAAGGATGCAGGGAGATGAACCTGACAGAGGTAAATGAATACGGGCAGACAGACACGTCATAAACACATATGAAAACTAAGAAAATTGACACGTTTTACTATTTCATGACATTTGAATTTGATGGCAGGAGCACATCTAAAAAAAAGTTGGTACAAGAAATGCCTGGAAAAGTAACCGGTACTAAAAAGAAATAGCTGGAGGAACATTTTGTAGGCAAGGCTAACTGGCTAACTGGCAACCAGTCACAAACATGAAATAAATCATCTATGAGAGGGTATAGTATTATCAAAAGATTCAGAGAATCTGGAGAAATCTTAAGGGACAGGCTGAAAATCAAGTTAAAATATAGATTTGTGAAGTTTGCAAATCACTGGAATATGTTCTTATTTAAAGTTTTCAATCTTAAAACGTTAAAACGGTTTTAATATAAATTTAAAATGTTTTTTTTATTATAATATAAGATGTATTTCTGCTTTGGAATTTAAGTTGCTTGGTATTACAAAAAGAACACTTTGTAAAGGGGAACGATACGTTCATATAAATATAACTTTTACTTTAGTTTGATATGTGTAAAATGTAATTCAGCAAAGGTCTAGTATAGATTTTTATTTCAGGTGACTAAAGTGTTTTTCATAATCAAAATCATGATGTTTATTGCATTATATGACATGAATTCCTGCTTTCACATAAATCAAACAGGCAAGGCTCGTAGTTGTTGATGTTAAGCAATAAGTGCAACTGCAGCTACAACTGTACAGGTGTATATAAATGCAGTTGTTTTTCTTCTTTGTACAGTTCTGATAATGAATGATGAGTTTCTACAAAGGATAGCCCGGAGAAGAGGCTCATTTAAACAGACAGCTGATAACTCTATACCTCTGAACTATGACTCTCCATCTTCTGAGGTGGCAGCCTGGCTTACTGCCAAAGGCTTCAGCGCAGTGTGAGTACTCCACAAACATATTTGTTCATATTAGCTAGAGTTAGTACTCAAGCTCCACTAAGGAATAGCATGTTTAAACATGTTGTTTAATTTTTATATTATATTGGTTTTGCACATTAGCACTAGCACTCCTGCTAGCCAGGAGATAAATGTGTGCAATACTGCAGACGTAGGTTTCAAAAACCCTGAAGTTGTATAAGGATTAAAATAGCTTAAGTATTGTAGCTTTACTGTTTATCATAGCTTTACTGGGTAATGAATTGGACTTAAAAGTCAAGTTCTTCTTTAGAAATTAAAAGGTGAATATTAAAAATAGGATCTTTTTCACAGTGAAAGCACAAAAATGCTGATCTTGTAATTCATTTCTGCTCAGCACTGTTGAGAGCCTGGGAATTTTAAACGGAGCGCAGCTGTTCTCCCTAAATAAGGAGGAGTTTGTTGCGGTGGCACCAGAAGAGGGTGAAAATGTTTACAGCCAGATAATGGCAGAGAAGACTCTGCTTAAGGTTTGTTCCCTATATATTTTTTTTTTTAAATCTCGATGTACTAGTTTGTGTGCATGTGGGTATTTGCAAAGATATGCTTGGGTGAGTGTTGAGTCATTTGTTTGCTCAGCCTTGACTTATGCACAGACTTACATTATTGCCACTGCCCCAAACTGATTAAAGATTTACAATGGCAAAAACGTGAGCAATTTCAAATTGAATGCACTCCTGTATAAATTAGTTTTTAAAATGTGGTCATAGCTTCATTTAAGTGGAAGTAAATGCCAAACACAATCTATTTGAAGTATTTGCAACATTTAAATATTTACAAATGAACATACCTATTCACAAATTTTGTCAACAAAACTTAATTGGGGTAAGAACATTTGTCAACTTGTCTATTTAAAAAAAAAAAAGGAAAATTGTAAATCAGAGCAAATTTAACTAGTAAAAAAACCAAACTATCCACAAGATAGTCCATGTTTATGTGTCACATGTTGCCTATACTTGGTGTGGGTGGGCAGCTTTTGTTATTTTTCTTGCTTTTAGTAAATAGACTTCATAAACAGATAGTTTTTGGTGATGTGTTTAAATCGGATTTTCTTTTAAAAATATGATCAAGAACTTTAATTTCATTAAGAAGTGAAAATAAATTATATCTTCTGTCCTCCCCAGAATGCACAAAAACTTTAGAACTGGATGCTTCGATGGATCCAAGAGTTAAAGATTAACTCACAAAGAAAGAGTGATGTATTGTAACAGAGTTAAAATATCCTTTAATACAGATGTGACATGAATGCTTATTTGATATAGAGGTAATGCTCATATTTTAAATCACAGAGTCTGTTAATTTATCAACAAAAACAACAGATTTTAAAAGAAATTCTATTTAAATACTCTTGGAACCAATTTGTTGTTGTTGTTGTCGTCTGGTTTTTAGTTTGACATGTTTGTAATCTTCTTGCAGGTTTAATTGTATTCCTTCCATGCAGTGCATGATTTTTTTTTTTT